ATTTGGTTTAGGGGGTTGCTGTCCGCTAAGTCGCTAATATGTGAACGTAAATGTTTGTTTGTTTAATTAATTAATTAATTTCAATTAATTTATTTGAATTAATGAAGTAGCTTTGCGGCAATGGGGTGGGATGGGGTAGGTTGCTGTGTGCACTACGTAAAACGTAATTCGTCAACGTTACTCTTTTTTAGATGATGACAAAGCTATATATCTGTTTGAGAAAACCTCTTGTTTTTCTGGTACTATTCTATTTAGAACAAAAGCAATCTGTTCTAAACGCATGCGCATATTTGTTAGCGATAGTATCAACTATATTCGGTGGAGAAGTCGGTGGAAGATGTGAGAGACTGACTTTTCACACAGGATCACAAACTGACGTTGCATGAGTGTTTATCCTTGTGGTAGAACACAGCAAGTATTATAGAAGCTTAATAATTAACTGGTTTTTACTGGGTATTTTAGCTAGCTGAGTGCTGAATTCTTATGAATTCAGTAAGCTGTCCATTAAGAGTCTTTTCATAGTTTTAAATTGAGCTAACGATTGATTAACTAGATATTTTGCGGCAGAGCGTTCCAGAGAGATACTATTCTATATTAGTATAAATCTACTAGCGTTCTATCACGAATGCCGTTTTCTGATTGGCCATGCTACTTACTATCTATTCTGTGATAGGTAGTGAGTAGCGTAGCAGTGTGCCCTTGTTAGCAAAATGACGGCCGCTTCTTGGCGTTTTCGAAGTGTCTGTGAAGAGGATTTAGGTGAAGTTTTGAACGACTAGTAGATTTATACTAAAACAATTAGATTATTGGCTCTCGATTTCTATGCATGATCGTCAACCATCACGCGATAGAAATCTCGAGCTCATAATTTACTTGTTTAATAAAAGGTTCTTTGGCTAATTGCGGTTCTAAATAAAGGAATAATTAACAGCTGCGCGTGCGTGTTGATATTGGTAAGCGCTTAATAAACTGATCAGATAAATACTCCGGGACAAGGCAATTCACGCATTTAAGGTGGCTCAAAACAGTTTCCAGCACTTAGATTTTGATGGGTCGTTATAACCAGTCTTTATCACTTGATGCTACAATCATGGTAGCCTGAGTATCAGGCTTGTCTTACTCG